CGCCGGCGCTATCGCATTCTGGGTCTCCTCCCCGGCGGGGGCGGGCGGCGCTGCGTCGGCGAGCGGCGGCGGAGCGGAGGAAGGCGGCGAGGGCGAACTGGACCCCGATGCCGACGCGCTCGGCGATGACTTTGACTCGGATTCGGACGACTCCGCAGAGGAATCGATTCACACCAGTGCGTTCCGTTCCGCACCGCACGCACGATCACACGCGTAGATCGGAAGGTGAGCTGATATGTGGTGAATGGGTGGGGTGCAGGCGAGGAGCGGAAGCGGAGTCACACGCTGGCCGCCGGGGCGAAGGGCCTGCTCAAGACGCCGCGGTTCTTCCACAAGGACACACGCGACAAACGCGCTCTCCCTCGTACCCATCACACACACACTCTCTCTCCCTCCCGAGCGCCCCCCACTGCAGGCCCGCCAACAGCCCACTGACTTCTTCTTTCCTTTTCGGTGACAGAGGGCGAGAGCGATCTGGGCTTCTCGTTCAGGCCTTCTCTGGACGAGGGACGCCATCGGCGCACCAACAGCACCGACATCTCCTTCAGTACGAGCACACTTACCACCGCACACGCACACACACCGCGACACGCACGCATCGTACACCCTCACCTTTCTTGTGTCCACACACACACAACACACAACACACGCCGCAGTGGAGCCGGGGTCGGAGGAAGTGCACCTGCAGACGGTGCACTTGCGGTACAAGGAGATGGAGGACCTCCAGCTGGGCGGCAAGGAGCGCCGGGAGCGAAACAAACGCCTCTCGGTCCACGTCGACCAAGTCCTCGCGCACCGGTACGCACCCAGCCTTCCATCACCACACGCACGTGTGCCCGCTGTGCCTGGTTTTAGCTCCGACTCACCTCAATGACTGCCATTTTTTTAACTCCGACGAACAGGCCGAGCTATGACAGTCTGGTGCACCGGGGCATCCTGAAGGAGTGGAGCGAGCCCTCGGCCAAAAGCCTGCAGGACTTCCCCGCCCACCTGTACGCCCGGCTCGCCCCAAAGCCGACTGCGCGGCCCACCGCTAACACCTCGTGTGTTCCGATTGGTGGGCGGGACAAGGCCGCCGCTGGTGTGGTCAGCGGCCAACAACACGGCGGGCAAGATCGACGGCTGGAACGTGGAGCGGGGCACGACGCAGGACCTGGTCTTTGGCGCCCACTCGGCGCTGGAGGACGAGGGCTACGTCCCCTTCTACGAGACCCACTTCCACAAATCCGGTACGCACCGCTTCGGTCACCTCACTTCCGTCCCCCTCTTGCTGACCAACCTGGCGCCATCCATGTGGCAGAATACACCACGTGGTGGGGCGTCGACGGTGAATTCGGCCCCATCATCATTTGTATTCACAAACAGGTGCGCTGGGCCTTCTCTTAGCGCACGCACGCACGCACGCACGCACGCACGCACGCACGCACGCACGCACGCACGCACGCACGCACGCACGCACGCACGGTCGACAATGCCAAAGTCTCAAGAATGTGTGTTGTGTGGTGGCGCGTGTGCACACAGCCTGTGACGGCGGGCGAAGCGGAGGGCGAGGCGCAGAACTGCAGCACCGCCGATCCCTCGCTCTTCACCACCTCGGACTCGGGCGTGCCTACCACCAGCTCCTCCAGCCACTCTGGACCCAGCGGCATCCTGCGACGACTGGGCGAGAAGGCGACGGGAGGCAAACCGGCCGGTGGCCTCCTTTCGCTCTACCGCGTGCTCATCCAAAGCAAGAAGGTCTCGTGTCGCCGTGCGTGCTGTGTGTGCGTGCGTGCGGTGTGTGTCGTGTGTGTGTGTGTGTTGTGTTGTGTGGTGTGTGTGTGTGTGTGTGTGTGTGTGTGTGTGTGTGTGTGTGTGTGTGTGTGTGTGTGAATCTGACGACGGCGGGTGCAGGGAGGGAAGCAGCTGTTCATCCGAAGCACGGAGAAGAGCGCGGAGAAGCTCAAGGCCCTGAAGACGGCCCTCGGGTCGCAGGGCTACCTGACCGGCGAGGTGGCGTCGTTCAACGACGTCAAGTTCAAGAAGCTCAAGGACCTCGACATACGCGAAGACCTCCTCTACCTCGAGAAGAAGTTCTTCTCCACCGACTACAAGTTCGGCGTGCTCTACGTCAAGAACGGCCAGAACGAAAACCAAATGTTCTCCAATCGTACGCACACACTCCACCGCACACGCACACGCACACGCGCACCACCGCACACGCCAACAATGGTTGGCTGATGGGGGTGCGTCGTGCAGTGGCTACTGACGCGTCGCCCGAGTTCGATAAGTTCCTGGCTCTCATGGGCGAGAAGATCACCCTCAAGGGCTTCAAGGGCTACACCGGCGGCCTTGACATCAAAGGTGCGCGATCACACTGCGTGTCGTGTCGCAGAGGGTGGGCCAGCGCTGACCCGCTGCTTTCCCCTGCTGGTGGCATGGCGACACGCAGCGGACACCACGGGCGTCGAGTCGGTGTACACTGAGTTCAGGAACCAACGAATCATGTACCACGTGTCGACACTCCTGCCATTCTATCCACGCGACGAGCAGCAGGTGCGTCTGCTTCGGCTCGTCTATCTCTCCCCCCCTTTGCGGCTTCGCTTTTAACACGATCGTCGCTTCTCTCTTTTCTCGCGCGCGCAGGTCGAGCGCAAGCGACACCTGGGCAACGACATCGTGGTGATCGTCTTCGTGGAGCCCGGCGCCCAGTTCGACCCCACGCCAATGAAGACCCAGTTCAATCGTACAATCACCCCCAATTTTAACTCCTACCCGTGCCGTGCTTGGCTAACTCCTATTGTGTTGGATCGGCGCTCAGACATCTATTGCGTGGTCTGTGCGGAGAAGCCGGTGGCTGCGGCGGCGGGCGATGAGGCGAAGGCCGAAGAAGGCGCCACGCGCGTGCGGATCGAGTTTGCGGTGAAGCAGGGCGTGCGGCCATTCGGCCCTCCGCTGCCGGACCCGAGCGAGACCCACTTCCAACTGGACACCAACCTCCGCGAGTTCCTCCTCTCCAAACGTACGCGTGTCGTGTGTCTGTGTCATGTGTCGTGTGTCGTGTGTCGTGTGTCGTCTTGTGCGGCTGATGTTGCGGGCGCTCTTCTCACCACCCTTCCTACGCCCGGTGCATTCTATAGTGGTGAACAGCGAGCGAGCAGCGCTCAAGGCGCCCGCGTTTGCGTCAAAGATGGAGAAGACCCGCAAGATATTCATCGAGCAGCTCATCGACACCAAGATCCACAAGAAATAATAGCCCACCACGTCAGCCGGCCGCCACATGTCAAAGTACTCTCTATTGTCGCTGAGAGCTCATTCCTCGAGCAACCATCCACACCACAGCCCCTTGTACAAACACATTCACAAAAACACACCATGTCTCGCGCCAGAACGTATCGGGGCTGGGGCTGCGCAACGTCTCTCTCCACGCGTAGTGGTCAGCCCAGTGGGGAAACCTGACGTAAAAGGGCCGCGGTGGTGAGTGAGCCCCGAAACGCTTGACAGACTGCGTGTTGGGGCGGGGGCTCGCGTACGGTGCAGCACAGGAACATGCCCTGGTACAGGTAGCAGTTGGAGCTGTCCGCCGACTTGCCGAAACCGTTCCCGCTTCCGCCTCCGCCGCAAGCCACGTCCTTGTTGTCGTCGCCCGTGCTCATTAGAGGGGTCCGGGCGCATACAACATAGTGGCACTATGAAGAAAAAGAGTTGTGATGAGGGGAAGAAGGGTACCGGGCCACAGCCTTGCTGCTGGCAGGAGAAGGGGAGGGTGTCGATGAGCAGGGCGTTGTGTTGGGTGGTGGCGTTGTCACCGTCTCCTCCGTAGGGGGCGGCGTCGGTGGTGCGACCGAGCACGCTGTCGTCGGAAGTGATAGTGACCGAGTGGGGCAGGCGGGCGCCGTGGACCGCAGTGGCCAAAACAGAGCAAGCCAAGAGGCACGCCAGTACAAGCCTCAACATCATTGTCGGGGCCATCTTCTTCCTTCGGAGGAGTTGAGATAAATGAGATAAAGTCTTTAAAGGGGCCAACCAATAAAAAGTGAATATATTTTTTTCCATAGAGTAAAGCTCAGGCGCTGGTAGGGAGGACGGAGCCCTTGGCCGGGCACTTGATAGGCTCGCCCGGCGACCACCTGCACGACAAGGAGGACGACCAGAGATCAGAGATCAAGATGCATAGATCAGAGAGGCGTCGCCTCGGGCTTTGCTTGCGTACGTGTGCTGCTTGGCCTGGGCGGGGCTGATGAGGTTGTTCCACAGGGCCACGCCCGCGGCCTGGTGCGACTTCTCTGTTTGTGTATGTCGTGAACCAAAGACAGTGAGTATGTGGAGAGGATAGCATATAAACAACAGCAGCAGCAACAACATGTACAACAAGAATCGGGAGCAGATAGAGCACCGGAGAAGTGGAAGCAGTCGGGGGCGAAGTAGGAGTCGTCGGGCTGGCCGTCGGGCTTGGTCGGGATCACGGTGTCCTTGAGGAAGGGCTGCAGCACCAGCGCAAAGTCGCCGCGGGTCTGGTACTTGGGCAGGCCCACGATCCGCTCGATCTCCCGGAAGTAGCCCTCGTGCGCCTGGGCGAGAGCCTTCAGCGCGTCGGGACCCGCCACCGCACAGGGGCACAGATACGAATGCCAGAACCCGCACTGCCCATCTGACACGCCGCACGCACACGCCGCGCACGCCGCACACATCGCACACGGTGAGTGTTGTTCGGGCGTGCACATGGGCCAGGGTGGATGGTTCGCACAGCTGGAGAAGGTGCTGAGAATGCTGACGTCGATGGGCGACAGGAGGTTGACGAAGAGGCGAGGCACCTGGGCGTAGAGGAGGTCGATGCTCTCCTCCAGCAGGCGGCCGAAGGTCTCCGGCCCGTTCTCCACCGGGTCCACGCAGAAGTCGCACAGATTGTTGTGGCCAATCAGGATCGACACCATCTGATCAAACGTCGGCAGTTGGTCAGTTTGTTAAAAGCAATCATACTGGATAAATAATGTGTAGTACGTTACCTTCCAGTCGGTGTGGTAGTGGATGAGGCCCAGGTTGGACCTCAGCCGCTTCGTGAAGTTCTTCACCTGACCGGGAAGGTCTGTTTCGTGTGTACGTGTGTGTGTGCGTGTGCGTGCGGTGAGGTGTGTGCGGCGGTGTTGTGTTTGGTGACGAACACTTAAAAGTGCCGTGTGTGGTGGTGCGTGCCCTGGATGACGGCTCCGGTGACGGCGAGGTTGAGTTGGCGCCGGCGCTCTCGATGTCGCCCTCGCCGGTGGAGAGGCCCTTGATGCGCGGGTTGTACTCGCGCAAGATCGAGCCCAGGGTCGTCAGCTTGCCCTCGGCCGGCTTGTCACCACCGACTGTCAGCGCCCGGCAAACACAACACGTCAAAAAAAGAACGAAGTCGGTCAGACAACGAAGCAAAAAGAACGAAAGCGATGAGGTGGCGCACTGGCGTAGGAGACACCGCGGAAGTCAGTGAACAGGTTGTAAACCGTGGCGGCCTTGGCGCCGAAGCCGGCCGTGAGGCTGCGCAGCCACACACGACAGCAGCAGTGAGAAACGCGAGGGTGGACAGGAATGGGTGAAGAGGGCCTTCTGTAGCGTGCCTGTCGCCGAGCGCGCCGAGGACTTCGATGTCGGCCGGGCGCAGGTTCTTGGCCTTGTCTGGCGGCAGAAAGCTCGGCCAGTACACCTTGCAGTCGAAGTTCACGTCCAGTTCCTCCACTGCTGGCTTTCAAAGTTAAATATATAACAACATACTAATACTCTCGTTGACAACATTGACGTTGCGAGATGGCACCACGAAGTATTACTATGAGAAATAAATCAAATAAATGACAAAAGGTTGGGGTACCCGAGTCGGTGCTCTGAAGATCGATGAAGGCCTGCTTCTCGGCGATGGCGAGGATGGCCTGGGCGAAGGCTTCGGCCTTTTCGGGAGCCATGCGCGGGTAGAACTGCCGCACCTTGGCCCGCAGGAACTCGAGCTCCTGCTCGGGCGTGTTCGTGCCGCACACGAACGTCGTCGCCATCAGTGACATCACCAGCACCACCCACACAACAAGCCCACTCGAACGCTGCATCTTCGTCGCGAACTGTCTTGGGGGTGTGCGCAGCCGTAAAGGCCGGTTGCTCACACAATTACATCTCGCCCGACCGCAGTGATTGGTCCTACCAAACGACGTTTCGTAAATGGCCGAAGTGGTTAAAAAAATAGTAAAATAAAGAGTGGGGAGTGGTACAAGTTTAGAAGCCATCAGTCTCCCAGAACAGGAGGTAGGAGGAGCTGCGTGGGGGCTGCTGGGCCTTTGAGAAGGGAGTGGCGGTGGGTTGCTGGCGCAGGCTCTGCTCCAGACGAACCTCTGAGCCCGCGGTGGTAGGGTGATCGAGCACGCGTGTCATGGTGCCCTCGTCCACGACGCTCTCCTCGCGCTGGGCATCGGGCACCACCAGCGCATCACCACCGAGCGCGAAGTAGTTCTCGATCGCCGCCGGATAGACCAGACGCACCCGCCTGCTGCCGTCATCATCAGTACCACCACTAAAGCCACCGTTGTTGTCACTGTCGTTGATGAAGTGGCGCAGGAGCTCGCCCACGAGCGAGCCCAGCAGGGCCTGGCCCCCATCATCGGCCATGACCTCGTCGATGACGCCGAACTCCCGCACGCGCACGGTGATAGCCCCGCGGCGGCCTGCCTCGCGTTGATCATCGGCCGTCGTCGCAGCCTCAGGATCGTACTTGACGAAGGCGACGGCGTAGCCTCCGGCCTGGCCGGTGGCGGGATCGAGGGCGATCGCTGAGAAGGTCGCCTCGCGGGTGAACTCGTAGGCGATCCACTTGTCCCAGTAGGCCGCGTCGTCGCGCACAAAAGTCCCGTTGAAGTGCCGCGCATAGGCCTCATGCACCTCCACCACGCTCTGCATGTGGTCGGCGATATTGTTGTAATGATACTTTCCTGTATGCTGCAACGTTAGGGCATGTGTCGTGTGTGTGTGTGTGGTGCAGTTCTCTCACGACATAGCACGACACACGACACACAGGGGTTCAGGGAGGAGAAGATCGACACCTTGGGGCGGTGTGGTGAAGGAGGTCAGAGGGGCGGAGATGACGCTGTAGCGCATGGGGATGGGGTGCCACCCTAGGCTCTTGTACAGCGGAGCGGCGGATCGGGTGTGCAGCATACCGAACGCCATCCCCTGCTCCTTCATCCACTTCTCCGCGTCCTGTCCAAGCCAGCCAGGAGAGCTCCAATGCGAGGGTCAGCACACGCACACGCCACCGCACACGCACACGCACGTGTGGACGACGCACCTGAAGCAGTTGGGAGGCCAGGCCCCGCTTGCGGTAATCCGCCTTGGTGCTCACCTCGCCTGATCAGGTACATGCACGACTTGAGCGAGGTGAGCATGTCGGGGGGGGGGGAAGAGGTGAGGTCAGCGAACCGATGCCACCACAAGGCACGTGGCGGCCATCGATCAGGGCGCGTCGCACGAACACGCGCACGGTGCTTGCAATCCTGTCGTCCCGCTCATGGTCCACCGCCACCCGAATACCCTCCAAACTCAGCCACGGGTCTGCGCTGGGCACTGACTGGGTGAGTGGCTGGTTCGGGTGGAAAGTAAAGAAGCAAATAAATAATAAATAATATATAAAAATAGTACCGTTGTGGAAGTGCCGCTCGAAGTAGGCGCGGGGCGTGTGCACAAAGACCTCGTCCACGTGGTCGAACCACCGCTCCTTCTCCGTTGCCTGCAGCCCCCTGCACTCCATCTTTTTTCCCACTTTTTTTGCTTTTCTTGTTCTTTTTTCTCTTTTGGTCGCACAACGTGACACGCGACACACAGCACACACGACACAAGGAGGCGGACCAAGAAGATGAGGGTCCCGTGTGGGTTTATTATGTGCACAAAAAAGGAGCGGAGCGAGGGTCCCGGCTCAGTCGGGGCCGGCGGTCCACTCCCGCAGGATGCGCAGGAGGTGTTCCCGCTTGATGGGCTTCGACAGGAACGAGTCCATCCCCACCCCCAGACACACCGCCCGGTCCTGCTCCGACACGCTCGCCGTAATGCCTGCGTTGCGTTCCCACCAGACGGCAGCTGTGGTTAGGGGCGCCAGAAGCGAATAGAGAATGGGTGATGATGGGTGGTGATGGTGGTGGGTGGTACTACTCACCGATGATGGGGGTGCGCGATGTGGTGCCTGCCTCCATGGTACGAATGCGGCGGGTGGTCTCCAGCCCGTCCAGCACGGGCATTTGCAGGTCCTGTAACAGAGGGAGGGAGGAAAGATGAGCCAATTATCATCACCCCTTACCGGGAGAGTGCGTGGAGTGGTGTGTGTACCATGAGGATGGCGTCGAAGCGGTGCTTGAGGATGGCCTGGAGGGCGAATTCGCCGTTTTCGGCGGTCTGGTACTGGTAGCCGGCCTTGTAGAGGATCTGCGAGAGCAGCTTCCGGTTCATGGCGTTGTCCTCCACCACCAACACCAGCGGCGCCTCGTTGTTCTTGTCCGCACCTCCCTCGCTCACACCAGGCACGCTGCTGCTACTGCCGCTGCCGGTGGTGGGCGGTTGTGGTGCGGCGACGGTCGCAGTGACGCCATGGTCACCGCCCGCGTTGATGCCCTGCGGCTTGGCGTTGTCGCCGCTCCCTGTGACAGCTTCGCCGGTCTTGGTCACGGGCGCCTCCGTCGCCGCAGACGCAGCGACGCCGCCCTGGGCCGCCGCGAACGTGTGCTCGTCGGACCGTCGCAGCGGAGTGTGTCGACCGGTAGCGGCGGCGTTCTCCGGCGGGGTCGGCGAGGCGACGACTGCGCCGTGCTCCCGGCTGTCCTTGTTGGTGGGGCGGTGGAAGGCGAAGGCCTCGCCGCTGCTGACGCGTCGGCCGGAGAGGCGCGCCAGACGGTTCTCATCGAGGGCGAGCACGATCTCGTTGAGGTCGTCGAGCAGGCGCACCTGCCGGAGAGGCAGCCGCATGACGTGGATGCGCCGGTAGACGCGGATGAAGGCCTGCACGTCCTCTGTCTCCTTCTCGATGAGGCCGCTGAGGAGGATGATGGGCAGCGACATGCGCCGCGAGGTGAGATAGGCCACGGCCTTGCCCAGCGTGTCCGTGTCGAGCACCGCAAAGTCGAGCCGTCGCTCGCCGTCATAATCCAGGGCGCCGCCCGCGGTGGTCAGCGACCGGCCCTTCTCGGCCTTGGCCAGCACGCCGAAGAACTCCTCCTGCGTCTCCGCTACCGTCACCTGCTGATAGATCAGAGTTAGCCGGCGATCATCACGGCGCTGTCCCCGTTTGTGTGCGTGCGGCGAGGTGCGCGTACGGTGGTGCCGCATCGGGTGAGGTGCATCTGGAGGATGAAGCGGTTGGTCTCGTTGGCGATGTAGAGCAGAGCGTGCATGCTGGGCAGACGGTTGGGCTCCGCCGAGGTGGTCGCGAGGGTCTCCTGCGACAGGCCGCCGTCGGTCTGCTGCGGCAGCGGCATCTCGCTCTCCGGCGGCACGCCCACGCGGGCGGTGAAGTGGAAAATCGAACCCCGTTGCGGGCGGCTCTCCGCCCATATCTTCCCGTGAAACATTTTACAGAGACGCTTGCAGATCGACAGACCTGTGGTCACGCGTTGACGAGAGTGTGAGCGCTCACATCGGAGTTGAAAAAAACCAGAAAGCGAATGCGGGGGAACGGCACGAAGAATGAAGACGTACCGAGTCCGGTGCCGCCGTACTTGCGGGAGAGGGAGGTGTCGACCTGGGAGAAGGGCTTGAAGAGGACGTGGAAGTCCTCGGCCTTGATGCCGATGCCCGTGTCGCGCACCTCGAAGTGCAGCAGCAGGTGGTCCTCGCTCTCGATCAGCCCATCGCTGCCGTCGCCGCTCGCCGACTCCTTGCCCTTGCCCTTCTTGCCGCGGCTTCGCTTCCCTGCGCCCTCCTCCTGCGTCGACGACCCGTCCTCCTCGAGGCTGCTCCCGCCCGTGAACGTGCTCGAGTCGTCCATGTCCGAGCTCGACCGCTCGTGGTCCTCGCTGCTCCCGCCGCTGCCGTGGTCCTTGCCCCTGATGGGACCCTCGAGGCCGCCGCTCTGCGCGCGCGACGCCGGGTAGACGGCCGACGATGACGAAGATGACGACGAAGAGGAGGAAGATGAAGATGAAGATGATGATGAAGAAGAAGATGGGGAGGCGTTGACGAAGGGCGAGACGACGATGACGATCTCGCCCGAGTCGGTGAACTTGACAGAGTTGTTAAGGAGGTTGAGGAGGATCTGGCGGAGGCGCATGTCGTCGCCGACGACGTACTGGGGCAGGGCGGGGTCGACGATGTAGGCCAGGTTGAGGCCCTTGGTGGCGGCCTTGAACTCGACGAGCTTGAGCGAGGTCTCCAGGCACTCGGCGAGCGAGAAGCGCTTCTCCTCGAGCTTGACCTTCATGGCCTTGAGCTTGCTCAGGTCGAGCACGTCGTTCACCAGCTCCAGCAGCGTCTCCGACGACGCCTTGATGTTGTCGACGTACTCCTTCTGCTCGGCGGTCATGCTGGTGTCCTCCAGGAGCGAGGTCATGCCGATGATGCCGTTGAGCGGCGTGCGCAGCTCGTGGCTGGCCACGGCCAGGAACGAGTCCTTGAGCCGGTCGACCTCCTTGAGCTGGTTGTTCTTGAGCTTGAGCTCCTTGTTGGTCTTCTTGAGGCGCTCGACCAGCATCGAGTTCTCGATCGAGATCATGAACTGCGACGTGAGGATCTGCAGCAGCCGCAGCCGGTCGTCCGTGAAGATGCCCGTGTTGGCGTCGTTCTCGAAGTAGAGGATGCCGTAGTGCTTGTCCTTGAACGTGATCGGCGTGCACAGGATCGAGAACGGCCGTTTCTTCCTGATGTACACGTCATTGCTGAAGTTCTCGTCCTGCGTCGCGTCCCGCAGCAACACCTTGGCTGCTCTCACGCCACGCCACACCACACCACATGCCACGCCATTCTTGATCAGCAACCGGCTGACGTCACCGCAAAATATAAAGAAAATCTATAAAGGGCGCGCGCACTCTTGGTTCGCCAGCAGTAGTTGAGGACTCGGTTGGGCACGTGCACGCTCTCGCCCTTGAACAGAACGTTGAGCACCTTGACCACCACCTCGCCCTGATGCGTCCATAGCAACAACAGCGACACCGGTGAGAGGTGAGCTTCTAGGGAGCTTACGAGGGAGGTGGTGGTGATGGGCGTAGAGTCGTACCAGGGGGCATTCGGCCTTGGCCTTGAGGAAGAGCTGCTTGGGCTTGCCCTCGTCGCTGTCGGCGCTCTTGCTCCCCATCTCAACGCCCTCCTCGCAGTACTCCTCGGTGAGGAGGAGCACGCCCTTGGTGGCGCACGTGTTGGACATGGTCAGGTCCATCAGCGACGTCAGCAGGTCGCTGTAGTTGAGCTTCGACGACAGCTGCTGCGACGCCTCAATCACCGTGTCCAAATCCAACGCGCTGTACACACAATCATTCGCCACCATGAGTGTGTGTCGTGTGTGTGTGTGTGTGTGTGTGTGTCGTGTGTGTCGTGGGCGCGTATACCTGGAGATGATCTCGGTGGTGGAGTAGGGGCCGGGGCTGGGGGCCTGCGAGGCGACGTCGGAGGGCCGGCGGTAGGAGGAGGTGGCCTGGGTGATGGCCTTGGCCTTGGCCGACGCGCCCCACTTGGAGTAGCAGTAGACGGCCTGCGAGAGGGCCTGCCCGGCCCACTCCTCGAGCACCTGCCAGGCCAGCTCCTTGGCGACCGCCGCGTCCTGAATGAACCCGTTGCGCAGCGCCAGCTCGTAGGACTCATCGTACTTGCGCAGCACTTGCAGCAGCGACGTGATCTCCTTCACCTCATTTCTGATCCGCTCCTGCACCCGCGTGAGCTCGGCCTGATGCGCGCACGTCGTCAACAACCACCCGTTAGCCGACTGCTTGTTGCTTCTTCGCTTTCGCTTTTCTCTTTCCAATGGAGGGGGGGTTGTACCTCAACGAGGATGTACTGATGGGAGTAGTTGCAGGGGGCGCTGTCGGCGAACTTCTTGAGCATGGCCTGGTTCTTCTGCACGATCCGGATGTAGTGCTCGTACTTCTCCTTGGTCAGGTTGTAGCTGTCGCCCTTCCTGTCCCTGCCCTCGCCGTTGCCCTTGTTCGACGAGGACCACGACACACGCTGCAACCAACCGCGCCATGTCAGCACTCGGCCACTGCGTGTGGTTGGTTCGAACACACACACACCCACACACACACACACCTTGTCGTCACGTTTGCTGAGCACGCGCTTCCACTTGTTGTCCTTGTCGATCTTCATCTTGTCCTGACGCGAGATGAACAGGTTGGAGGCCTTGCAGATGGCCAGAATGGTCAACGAATAAATAAAATAGAACTCTGTCACACGCACAAAGAGGGACCGGTGACGTCAGCGATGAGTACACACACACAGGAGGAAAAAACAGGTGTACGCAACGACGTACCGGGTGCCTCCTTGAAGCTGAGGATGACGTCCACCGCTCGCGCGGCCCTGTGGCCCATCTGCAGAGCCTCCGAGTACTGGCCCATGATGTAGCAGTAATGCATACGAATCACGCAGTAGTTGCCTGTTTGGCCGTGGTCACGCCGTTAGCAACGATCGATAGCATCGGTTTATGGGATGGGGGGGGGCAGGACGTACTGTATTTGAGGGGCACCTTGTCGGAAGTCACGCCGCTCATGATGCGCTGCTCGTACTCCTCGTCCTCCTCCTGGACGGGCTTGTCCATGAGGAGCTTGACGTGTCGCTCGATCGTCTCCATCATCACCAGCAGATCGCTCCAGTTGGCGTCGCGCGCGAAGCTCATGTAGGGCTCTGCAAACCAGGCGCGATGGTGTGTCACCATCACTCGGAGTTAGGCAGAGTGGTCATAACTTGGTCATAACTCCGAGAGCGAGGCGTGGCCGAGGCGCACGCACCGATGGAGGAGAGGATCTTGGGCAGCGAGAGGCCGGAGCACCACTGGGACGTGAGGAGGTGGTAGGCGCAGCCGGTGCCGTAGACCAGGTCGCCCGACTCAATGCACAGCTTGAAACCCTTCTCGAGGCCCTCGAACACGGACCGCAGGGGCTTCTTGAGCCATGCGTCGAAGGCTGCACCGATCAACAAACAAAAAAACGAGTGAGTGAAAAGAAAGAAAAGAAAGAGAAAAGAAGAGAAGAGAAGAGAGGGGAGGCGGCGTACAGTAGAAGAGCTCCCAGACCTGCCCGCGGTCAGGCAGCTGCTGGCGCTGGGCGTACTTCTCGCAGAGGTCCAGGCCCAGCTTGCCCCATTCGTAGGCCTCCTCGAGCGCCTGTCGGTGCATGCTGCACGCAATCCATGCGTACTGCGCATAGACGCCGGCGGTCGAGGGGTCGTTTCCGTGCTCGATGCTGATCAGGATCTGCGCATTTGAGGGGAAGGGAGGGGGTGTGAGTCTCACCTTCCCCTGCATTTGACAGGCCGAGGCGAGCTTGAAGGTGGAGGGGGGCATGTTACCGCAGTGCACAGGGCGAGAGGCAGGACGTTGGGATTTCCAACGAAGAAGAGACCGATGCACATCTTGTTGATGACGATTTGGATTCCCTATAGGCATGCCAATGATGATGACGACGATGACGATGATGAGAATAAAGTCGTTAGGCCGTGCGAACGTGGTGACGCAGTGAAGTGGGACGAGGGGGTGGGAGGGCATACTCGTGCACGAGGGTCGGTGGCAGGCGGGATGCTGATGAGATCGGCCACCTTGCGGTCGCCCATCAGGTCATAGACCTTCTTACGCGCCTCGTCGACCATCTCGGGCGTGGGGTTGCGCTCGATGCTCACGCCCAGCGTGGCCAGACACTCGAAGCCGTAGTGCACCAGGTCCTCGTAGCGCTCCAGGCAAATGTAGAACTGGTTGCGGTGGGTGAAGACCTCGATGACCTCCCAAATATCGGCCGCCTGCGCGCACAGCAGCTCGAACAGCTCCTGCGCCCTGTCGACGTTCTTGCACAAGTACTCGCACTGCGCGCTCTCTGCGTACCCAGAGGTGCGAGAGTCAGCAGACACGCCCACCAGCACCAAAGCACGCGCAACGCAACACGTACCCAGGTAGAGCTGAAATGTGAGCTTGTGGTGCGTGGTCCAGCAGCCCTCCGGGAGCATGGCGATGCCCTGCGCGGCCACTCGTCGTGCCATGTCGTAGGCTGGCACATACGCACGAATTGCGCGCAAGAATGAGCGAAGACCGCGAAAGTGGCGGGCGAGCACCACTGTAGTGGAGGCGGTGGCAACGTACCGAGAGTCCTCTTGCCTTTGATGGCGGCCTTGAGGTTGAGCTTGGCCAGGAGGATGCGCTGCTCGGCCGAACCGATCAGCTCCGCGGCTTTGTTGAGGTGGTACACCACATCGAAAATGTCGAAGCGCCCTGCCGGCTCGTCCTGTTCGGTGTACTCGTGCGAAAGATTCTTCTTTCGCGCCGCCAGGTCGTCCTGCGGCTGCTGCGCACAATGAGCGCTTCATGATGAGCCTCACCACCACCACCACCACCACCACCGCCGCCACCACCACCACGCAAACCGATAGAAAGCTCAGAAGAGGTACCGAAGCTTCCTCGGTGGCCTTGAGCTTGTTCATGAGGTAGAGACCGATGTTGAAGTGCGCCTGCTTCCTTTGCACCTTGTCCACGCACTCGTATGCCGCCTGCTGCACGCGGTCGTGCAGGAAGTTGTAGTCGAAGCCCTCCGATCGAAGAATGAAGCCTGCGCGGCGCACAAAGAGAGCGATGAGTCGAAACGGCCGAGCGGAGACAGCCAGGCGGCGGCGGTGGCGCAGTGCGTACCGCCGTGCAGTGCCCGCCAGAGATCGTTCTCGGCCTGGTCGATGGTGCACTGGCTGTACTCAGCCACGTCCCTCACGTCGAAGCGACTGCCGAAGAAGGCCGCCACCTCGAGCAGCTTCAGCGTCTAGTGCCCCCCCCCCAAGGCGCATTCATGACATACCACGACGCGTGTGAGACGCGAGGCCCTCGAAGCGCCAAGAGCGACGAGCCACGTACATTGGCCGGCAGGTTGCCGAGGTCCTGCGCCATGAATTCCACCACGTTGTCGGTGAAACCGGTCGCCTGTATTTTCTCCAAGTCCCACTGCCAAGATCCGCGATTGTAGTCGAACCACTGCACCGTGCCGTCGGTTAGCTCTCGGAATTGCAGTGGAGTGCGCGCTCGAGGGGTGAGAGGGGACGCACGATGAGCTCGGACTGGTAGAGCTTGGTGAGGAAGCTGATAATGAAGAAGGGGTTGCCCTTGGTCTTGGTGAAGACCAGATTGGACAGAGCTTCGGTGAGGTCCGAGTCGGAGTAGTGGAGCACGTTGGCCACCATTTCATTGATGTCCTTCAGGCCCAGCGGCTGGTGTAGATACGGTGGATAAGTCGAAGCTGAGTGAACTCATCCAAGCCAATGCCCCCGACTGTGTGTGTGTGTGTGTGTACCTGAAGACAGATGTGGTGCAGCGACGCGTTCTTCTCGCGCAGCTCGTTGACGAAGAGGTTGAGCGGATGGGTGGTGCCGGTGACCTCGTTATCGCGATAGCCGCCGACCAGGAGGAGCGACCCAGCCGTGGGCGAAGATCGGCAGGTCTGCACAAATCAATTGATCAAAGGGGGGGTGCGCACACAGTGAGCGCCCTTCAAAAGACACGAAAGCTGAAGGGAGAGGGGACCGCACCAGCTTCTCGAGCAACTGGAAAGACGGGTGGTCGGCCCAATGGAGGTCGTCCAGAATCATGACCAACGGTCGCCCGGGCGTGAAGCTGCAGAAGACGTCGACGAGCCGGGCGAAGAGTTGGTTGAAGAGGGTCTTCATCTCGGTCACTCCGAGGTCGACGTGCGGCGCGGATTGCACGCCGATGAGGAGCTGCAAGCTGGGGATCACGTTCACCAGGAGCTGGCCGTTGGTGCCGAGCGCCTCGAGGATGCGCTCCTTCTTCGACGTCACGCTTTCCTCGTCCTCTGAGAGGATCTGGTGCGCACCGCATCGCGAGAGTCAGACCTTGGCGTGCAGAAGAGGGTGGAAGAGGGCAGAGTAGCATACTTGGTGAATCATGTCGGTGAACGCGATGGCGATCGCCGAGTAGGGCACGTCGCGCTTGTTGTAGTCGTACTTGCCCTGGATGAAGTACGACTGGTCCTTGACCACCTTCAGCTGATTGACCAGCGACGTCTTACCGACTCCTGAATAGCCAGCGACCAGGAGGACCTAATGTGCGGTGGTGCGCGCGTTAGGCCATCGCTGGCGCTCATCGAGGTCGATGATGGAGAGGGGAATGGAGAAGAGTGCGGTGGTGCGTGCCTGGCTCTTGAGCTCTTTGGCGGTCACTTCGTAGATCTTGCGGACGAGCTGTATCTCACGCTCGCGGCCATAGAGGCGCGCCGGGAACGAGAAGACGTCGGAGACGTCGTACCGGCCGGGCGCGAAGTCGTTCACCACCACCGGCGTGCGCTGCTCGCGCTTGTCCTCCAGCCACTGCTTGCAGTAGAGCAGATCGGCGTGCAGGCCGCGACTGCTCTGGTAGCGCATCTCCATCGACTTGGCCATCAGCTTGCTCACCACCAGCGACAGACACAGCGGTATCCTGCACCCCACCATCGCCACGCTCGTGAGCACGCCAGCGCTGCCATGGATATCCATGTGTCACACACGCAGGCCCGTACCGTGCGTCGACTTCGTGAAGGCGCGGAGTGGGCTTGGCCATGTGTGCGTGGAGGAGCCGGATGGGGGTCTTCTCTTGAAAGGGAAGGCGACCGGTGAGGAGCTGGAAGAAGGAGACGCCGAGGGAGTAGAAGTCGCTGCGGTGGTCGATGCTCTTTGACTCGGTCCGCACCGACAGCTCGGGCGGCAGGTAGGGCAGGGACCCGAGGGCCTGGAAGGGCACGCGGCCCTGGTTGGTGTCCTTGCTGCGGATCACCACCGAAGCGATGCCCAGGTCCGTCAGCTTCACCACGCCCGTCTGTCTGTTCCATATGATATTGGCGGGCTGGATCACCACACACACGCACATGCACGACCGCACACGCACACGCACACGCACACGCAGCAACACGAGCCCAGTCCGAGAGCGACGCTCGTGGTTAGTCAGATGGCCAATGAGAAGGCTACGAGGCCCACGCAAGATGGCTGACAGGAGAGAGCTTGCAACAGGCTAAAGAAAGAAGGGAGAGACGTAAATCTACACAAAATAAATTGGGGATAAAAACTATTGTGTACCTTGATGTCCTTGTGCACGATGGAGTGACTGTGGATTTGGCCCAAAGAAATGGCGAGCGAGATGGCGATGTCGATAAATTGCTCGAGATGAGCGGCAAAGGGGCCGTCTCGCTCCAGACACTTGAACAGGTCATCGCCGCCAAAGTCCTCCAGGACGAGGGCCTCGAAGTTGTGTCGTGAAATGCGGTCGTAGATGGCGACCACGCCCGTCACCGTCTTGAGACTCTCGACGATGTTGTACTCGTGTTGGAAGTTGCTGAGATGTCGTGGCATGGGGAACGAGAGGCTCAGCACCTTCACCCGCACGGGCACGCCATCCTTCTGCCGCACGCATTTGTACACCTCCGAGCTCGACCCTCGATCGATCTCATCTGATGCGAGTCGATACCCGGCCTCCTCCACGAACTTTGCATTCTCCATGTTCTTCATTCTTTGCACGCTTCTCTCCTTTTTTTAAAATCCAAGATGCTCGCTCCTCTTTTCCGATGCCTTCACCCCACCAAATCGGCCGAGGAGCGCGGAAAGGAAGGGGGCGACCCAAGGACTCGATGGGATGAGGAGCTTCGCGGTCTAATCAATCGCCAAAAAAGATGAAAAGACGCCAGGCGCCAGCAGTTGGGTCTCTTGTCCCTTCCCGGGCTTTCGTCCACACAAACGCGAACACACGAGCCGAGACGCAGAGCTCACGGCACGCAACGGCCAAACAGCGCCTCCGTTGCTTGCGCTCAAGTTTTTCGCTCAGTTGGGCGCCCAATTCTTCGCCATCTTGCCGCCCAGCGGGCCAGCCATTGGTCGTTGAGCGTAGGCCAGGGAACGAGAACACGACGACAGATGAGCCCCGCACGTGCGCGACGGCCGGGGAATTGCAGTGTTGGGTCAAGGAACGTTCTGCCTGCGTCTAACGCTTACATCAATCGAACGAGATGCGAACCGAACAAACAGGTAACTGGGGTGAGGCCTCACTCATGTGTCCATGACCTCCTCGCTGATGACGCTGGGGTCGTCGAAGGCCGGATTGACGAGCATGGCCTCGTTGCTGCTCTTGCCGGTAAAGTCCGACGGCACTCCGGCACGCAACACGCGCGAGGGCGGTGAGGAAGACGAGGACGAAGACTCCGCGGAGGAAGTCGGCGGGAGAGCAAAACTGAGGCCATCGTCAAGGTCATCGAGCTCGTCGACGGCCAAGATGAGCGGCTCGTAGTGCGGCATCCGCTGTCGCTTGTACTGTCGGGCGCTGTACACAAAAAAGCCTGAAAGAGGGAGCACGGCGGCTTTGAGTGAATGCACGCCCAATGCGGTAGAGGAAGGCGCCAGAGCAGGCCAGATATCTTAGTACCCAGAGAAGCGACGCAGACTAGCGTGAAGCCTGCCAGCGAGCAGGCGATGGTCCACCAGACCCACTCCTCGGCTGGTGGCCCGGTCCACACGTAGGCCCTGGCGTTCGTGAATCCCACACGCTTGTTCGCGCGATCAAAGATCGTCACGCGGTCTAATGCCAAATAAGAAAAAAAAAGTTAACCCCGAACCGTCTGAAGCCTGGTGACGCTTGAGTAGCGTAACGCTCCGGAGAGTACCTCGCATGAAGGTGTCGCCCAGGATGGTGAGGGTGTTATCGATGGGCGCAATGGCCAGTTCCACGCAATACGAACTGCGCAGTTGGATGCGCAAGTATTGGTGCGGCATTAAGTCCACCTAGTGGTGAGACACCACCAGAGGGAGAGTCAGTCGATTGCCACCAGACACGCAGCAACAGGGTGTGATGGTTGAAGAAGGTCGGGTGTAAAGCCGCACCTGGACGCCCGGAAACTTGAAGGTGATGTTAGGATAGAGAGTCAGGTTGTTGGTAAGCTGTGTGAAGGTGGTGCGGTCGAAGCAGGTGTTGAAGATGTTGTCTCCGCGGCGCGAGTGCTCACAGATGCCGATGACACTGACAAATCGATGAACGAACGGGCAACGTGCACAAAGCGCGTCAGATCAAGTCCGTGAGCAAGGTCGGGCAGCACCAGGTTGGGGCGACTTACGTGCATTTGCCCGAGAGGAAGCCCTCTTTGAGCGCTTCAAAG